CGGGGGCATCCATCTAGTGCTTTTACAGCCCCTTCTTACCCCACTTTCTCCTCCCAGAGCTCACCGCCCGGTTAGCTCAGTCGGTAAACACCAGACTCTTAATCTGGTTGTCGCGGGTTCGAGCCCCGCATTGGGCTTACTTTTTGCTTTTGGGATTTGATAGCGTAATTGGGTTCGGACGTCTCGAAGATGTTTTGAAAGCTGTAATTATTTAATCCAACTCATTTGTTGCGTTTTTAGCGCCACGATCTGCTGCGCATGCGCGACGTGAACGAGTTTCTCGGCGGCCACCTGCTCCAGCTGTCCCGCCCGCTGCCCAAGTCGTTGACCGCCCTGAAGCAGGACCAGGAAGTCAGGGGTAGGTTGTTACGGTAGTTTTGGTGTTTTTAAAATAGACTTACCGAAATTTTAGAGCTAAAAATTCCGCGATTGCCATTTTAGAGTGCCTGATCAAGTACTTTTGCGTGATCCTGCACTCGTTGCCGGCTTGCGGCGACCCGGAAGGGGACGGCGAGCGGCCGACGATCGATGCAGCCCGCCGCGAGATCTTCACCCTGGCGGTGGGACCCCTGCGATTTACCGCTTACGCCCTGAAATTCCAGATCTCGCAATTTGAGCTGAGCGGCTCCGGGCCGTACCCGTGGCGCGGCGTCCCTGATCGTCTGCGTGCTGAAGCCTTGACGCTGCTGCAGTACTTTGTCTTCCCCGTCCCGGCACACTTTACGTTCACCAACCAGAGGTACGGGTTATGCTGCACTACTTTTGCGTTACACCACGCAACGGTGGCTACAACGAGCTATTTGGGCTGCGCTAATCAACGCTACACTACGTTATGCTACGTAAGACTACGCTGGGCGAACGCTATGAAGCTAAATTACGATACGCTGCGCTAGGCTACGCTAAGCAACGGTATATTGCGCTACGCTACGAGATACTACGTTAGATGACACTACGTAACATGACACTACACTGCGCCAAGCATTGGTTTACGCTACGAAAGACATTACGATACGCAGGACTATGCTAGACTCCGCTACGCTACGCTCGAAAAGACGTCCTTCTTCAGGTTCCTCGGTTGCCTGCAGGCCCGGTATGCAGGCCGAAGACGCGGCTGTGCGCCAGACATCTGTCCGTCTCGCCTCGAGGCTCATCTACTCCGGATGGCTGCACATCCACGCTGAAGACGTCGTGGTAAGGGCTCACCTCTCTCTCTCTCTCTCTCTCTCTCTCTCTCTCTCTCTCTCCCTGTCTTTTCTCTGGCTCTCACTGTACATACATCTCCATTAGTCCTGCCTGGCCGAGTCGCCGTTGATGTGGCTGAAGGCCAAGCGACCGAAGCTGCTCGCCGAGCTGTCGATGCTTGTCGGCGGAATTGTGGACGCGATCCCAGACTCGCCGCAGCCGCTGCGCGAAGTAGGGGAGCCATTGATTTTGGTAACAGGGGCGCATTTTGGACGTCTTCGAGCAGCCCAAGCCGGCTTTTTGAGCTTGTCGAGCAGTTCAGCTCCTGATTTCAGGCTGATCGAGGTGGTGAGCCTGTACGCGATGGAGGACCAGCACGGCGAGCTGCTCGCCCTGGTGCAGGGACATGGAGGCCGACAAGCTGCTTGAAGATCCCAGCTGGAAGGGTTGACGTCAGATGAGAAGGTGAGAGAGAGAGAGGGAGGAGAGAGAAAGGAGATAGAGAAAATGTGAGAGAGCGGGAGTGAGAGAGTTAGGGAGAGGGGAGAGTGAGAGATAGAGCAAAGAGAGAGAGTGAGAGGGACAGCGAGAAAGCGAGAGAGAGAGTGAGAGATATCTTATTTTGCAGGTGTACCTGCAGGTGGTCCTGGCCGCCCTCGAGGAGGGCGCAACAACGAGTCCTGAAGCCTGAGGACCCGGCGGCCCAACGCGAAGACCTACCGTACCCTCTCCCACCCTACCGTACCCTCAATTTTCCCTCGTCATCTCTGTGCTCTCCCCTTCTTCCGTGCTCTCTCGCCCTCTCCCTTCCTTCCCTTACAGCCCTCAGTTGCTGTCTTGGGTTCTACAATTTCGTCCTTACAGCCCTCCCGGTTTCGGCACAGTTTTGGAAATCCTGTTTTCGCGTGTGTAGTCATTGGTAGTGTAGCGTAGCGTAGTGTTTTCCACCTCTTCCAGACCATTCGTCACTTTTTTTTTGGATGTACTCGTACTAGCTTTGTAGTTTTCCCCCGGGTTGTGGTGTGTTTTTAATAAAGTTAATTTTTACTTGCATGGTGAAACAGAGAGAGAAGAGAGAGAGAGAGGAGGGAGAGAGTGTGGGAGAAGAGGCAAAGAGAGACTGTGATAGAGAGCGAAAAAAATAATTTTCGCGTTTTCGGCGTCACTACTACTTACGTGTGGCTCGGCTCGGCTCGGCCAACAACAAGTAACACAGCCGAAAATACCCATTTGGCACAGGGCCGACAGGTTCAGAATGTTCTCGGAAAACCAATTCCGTCTCGCGTGCCGATTCTTGAATGGTTGAGGTGCGAAGGCCAAACAACACCTTGGCCCGACGTGCCTTTGCAATTCTCACTCACTCTCGCTCTCTCTCGCTCTCCCTCACCCGCTCTCTCCTTCGCTCTTGCTCTCTGTCTTTCTCTCTCGCGCTCTCTCTCCAACTCACTCGCACACATTTTCTATCGCCCTACCTTAACTCAATAAGCCCGAGCCACGTGCCGCAGTGAATCTATGGGTAGCATCGGCCTTCTCCTCGATTTTTCGCATAGTTTGGAATTTTCCGTAATTTAAAAATAGATGAACGCTACCGTACCTTATACCGTGTATCTTCCGCCGGCCTGTATGAATTTCGAAGATTGCCCTCCTAACCTGGAAGCAGTTTTCGAAATGCTTGGCGTGATGGTAGGTTTTTAGCGAGCCAGGATTGATTGATTTCTAGTGCACCTCCTGGCTCCATCCCCAATGCAATCCGCCCTTCACCAGTATGACCTCATCTACTGTCATTTGCCTATATAATTTCTTGGCATTAATTGCTTATACAACGCTGTTAATCTTCATCCTAACGATGAAAAGGCTACGTTTCAATTATCGGATTTGTATAGGCTTGTTGTATATCTCTGACGCTTGTACTTTGGTGATGTCGGCACGAGGTGAGATTTTCTATAAATCTCAGATCTCGCCGGAATTCATTAAATCACGTTTTACAAAGTTTTATATAGCTTGAAAGTGTCGATTCTAGAATCTGTCATTACAGGGTGTGCCCTGGATTTTCAGGTGGATCTGAATTTGCTCTGGCAAGGGGCTGGAGGAGGTCTACAGGATATGCTGGTATGCAGAACTTGCTAATGGCGTATCTACGGTACCATGAAGCCACTTATATACGCGAAGAGGTTGCGCATTTTTGTCTCTAGTCTCTCTCTTCCTCTCTCCCTCTTTCTCCCTGTCTCTCTTTGTCTCTCATGATTTCTCTCTCTCTCTCTCTCTCTCTCTCTCTCTCTCTCTCTCTCTCTCTCTCTCTCTCTCTCTTCTCTCTCTCTCTCTCCTTCCTAGACTTTGCCTAGTCTTCAAGTAGATTTTTAGACAAATCACTGGATCCCGATCGTCGGTGCCATTATTGCGATCACAATTGGAATTACAACCTTTTTCCTGCATGTCACGCAGCATATCAGTCGGATCTGGTTTACACCAGTCAGTGGATACCAGGAAGAATATCTATGGCCTTTTCAGGTCAGCGATCAGAATTTTCAATATTGATGGAGATTTATTTTCAAACTCCACGTATATCGCTTGGTGAAAAGCAATCAAAAAAAAATCCAAATCGTGTTTTAGACGTTCAGGATTGGCCATACTCGCATTCGCCAATCATAGCAGCAGCTCTTCTCTGGCTTTTGCATGTGCGTTGAAGATTGTTTGGGTAAGCGCAAAGCGGCTGATCGAAAACAGCAGCAATTCAGTAATACGCCCAGCACCTAATATACAGATTTAAATCCCGATTTTTTCAGATGTCGAACAACTCGCCCGTCGACAGCGCTTCATCTTTTTCACGTCGATCTCGGTGTTCGTCACGCAAATGATTTTACCTATGCCCAGTTTTTGGCTGGGGCAGAAGAGAATCGGGTGAGATTGCCATCAAATTACTGCTGGACAAGCGGCGACTGTCCTTTTACTTTAGTGCCTTGCGGTTTCTATTATTTTTATTTCAGTGTCGGCTCGTTAATTTTTAACGCCAACCTCAGCTACTTTTAACGACCGCTCTGCAGTTCTGCAGCTCCGGTAGTGCGCACCTCTGTCAGTCCCCTTGGTCTCGCTCGCTCATAATATATATATATATATACTCTATATATATATATATATATAGCTTATATATATATCATGACTGTAAACAGAGCTTAAAAGCTTGTGGTCAAGAAGTCCCTTTAAGATGCTGTACCCTCTGCTCCGAGCGGTATGCGAACTGGACGCTGAAAAGATCGTTGGGTGGAGGTTCGACGGAATTTGGGCCGTCCTCATCGTCCAGTGCACCCGAGGCCAAAATCGACGGATATCTGTCGAACCCGTATCAATTGTCAGCCTCAGAGTTTCTTCGGCTCCTCATTGGCAGTTGTCACATGTTTTGAGATGCAATAAATTTGCCAATAATGATCGAGGCAAGAACGAGATAGAGCGAGAGAAGAAAGAGGAGTTAGAAAGAGAGAGAGAGCGCGCCAGGGAAAAGGCAAGAGAGAAAAGACTGGGAAAATGGCGAGGAGAGCGAGAGAAGGGAGAGTGGGAGAGGGTGATAGAGGCATAGAGTCTTCGCGAGCTGGCAAGAGAGAGAGAGAGAGAGAGAGAGAGAGAGAGAGAGAGAGAGAAAAAAAATTGGCAAGCAAATGATAGAGACCTTCAAAACTCTTTTAACAAAATTATTACCATACTACGAACATTTGCATAAAGTGTCCTGAATTTTTCAGAAAGAGTAAGAATACACATTTTCTCCCCCAAATTTTGGTGGTGCTCTGCGGCCCCACGCTCCGAACTCGCCGCCCCGCTGACTCACGATGGGATCGCTGGATGAATCCGAGTAGATATTAATTCATTATAATAAGAAGTTTAATTTGTCTTTTTAGTCTCCTCTTGATGGCCATCCCGCACGTCGTGTTGATCGCGTTGTCGGCGATGATCTTGGGGACGACGCTGGTGAAGGCTGTGGATCGGGTAGGAGAGAGCGAGAGAGAGAGAGAGAGCGAGAAAGAGGGAAAAACCGAGAGATCGAGAGAGGGACAGAGAGAGATAGAGAGAGCACCTTTTTCAGTATCGTCGCGTCGGCCGTCTGATGAAGCGCACGGATCGACTGCTCGAGCTCTCCGCCCGCCACCAAAACCCGTCGGCTTCTCGTTCGGCTCGGCCACCGTGATCTACCCGCCAAAGACGAACTACCAGAAATCAATATTCGATTAATTTAAATATTCTTTTCCCTCTATCCCTCTGCTTGGCTACCTTCGTGTCTGGATGTTGTATAATAAATTGTTTTTCTGATGTTTTATGCACTTTTTGTTGCATTGGAAAGTAGTGAAGGTAAAAATGCATGAAAAACTAGAAATCCGTAGGTTCTTTGGCATTATCGGGGGCGGGGGTTTGAGGAGCGCTAATTTTTCCTAGAAGCGAAA